TCCCTTTCATCTGCAAGCATTTTTTGGTTTCCAGGCAGAGATCCACATGGGAGCCGGACTAATGTGTAAATCCGGCCTGTTCTTATCGGCCCGTCCGGGTTTTGTCTCAATCTGACAGACGCAAAGCGTCCAGTAAATATTACGCTGGATAGAGAGAACAAATAAACTCCAGAACAGGCTATGAATACAAACTGGGTTCACTCTTTAAATGCAGACAGAGCACAGAGGAAAGTGCAAGTGGACATTTAATCAGTGTCCACAGAGAGAATCTTATTGTTTCAATCTTATTTGTCATAGAAATATTTTGTTTTTGTCATTTACACCTAGGAAATTCCATTTTTTAGCAAAGCTCAAGATGTTCCAATACATGTTAAACTAAGTTGTTTTTAGAAGTAATATCATCCACATTCCATCAAATACCAGCCCTGTAACACAATTTATCCTCTCTCTGTCTTCTTATTTCTTCTTATTTGCATATTTTGTCATTTTGAAATAAACTTTGATGCTTGGTTGAATATAACTGTATAACAACTTAAAACTTGTGCATTGGTAAAAAACATTTATTTTAGTGAAAATAGCTTTGTCAAACTTAAAGAGTCAAAGTTACCTTGTTGTTTGAGACTTTAAACCCCAGATGATTGGATGGAGTTCCAAATCAGGAAGTCAGAACAACTTAATGGCCCAAATATACTCGGGACCATTTTCTTCCACTGAAGGTTCCACGAAATTAACACATCTAAGTGACTTTAGCACAGCATTATGAAAATTGACTCTTTTCAGGAACCACCTGCTGTCTGCCTGGATTTGTGTCGAGTTTTGGAAAAATCATCCCAACCAAAAAACTGTTCATTCACCCAAAATTCACCCAAAAACATGTTCCCTCCATTTTTACTGGTATAAGAGAGCAGCTGGTGTAATTGTAATATTCTGTGCCGTGTTGTGTGTTGGATTTTATGTCAATTTAACCCATTAAATCCAGCGTTGTGTTTTTCATCTCCCAGTACCCCAATAAGAACGTAGCACTGGTGGCGTCGGACATCCTTCATCTCCTGATCAGTTACGCGGATCATCTTCAAAAGTTCCCCCCCGACACTCCGAAGAAGATAGTAGAGGTGAGGCGTGAATTACTCTGGAAACTTTAAACGCCATCTTTTCTGTTTGTGTCTCTCCACTGTGTTGACTGGAAACTTTCTGGGAAAAGTCAGAGACTCTGAGGACCCCTTCGTCCTTACATAAATGAGAGTTCTCATAACGACCCTAAAGCTAATTTGTTTGTGACTGTTTTGACCCACAGACCTGATATGAATCCTTTTTTTTCTCTATTGGATTTAACCTGTTTAAACAAGATTTGATCGTCTTTCTCTTCAGATTCTGATTGCAACCATCACCTACCTTCTCCCTAATAC